TCGTTTTTCCTTCTCTCTCGGAGACGACGAAAATCCGGCGAAGCTGAAGAAGAAGAATCGTTTTTCCTTTGCTGCTGCTGTTTTATGGAACTTGACGATTTGGATCTCGGCGGTTCCTGGCCGTTGGATCAGATCACGTTTGCTTCTAATTTCAGGTCTCCGCTCGTTTTCTCTTCTTCCGAACAGCCTTTCTCTCCTCTCTGGTCCTTCTCCGAAGCTACTTCCGCCACCGCATATGGTGGCGGAGAGCTCAGCTCCGCCGCAGGAACTCCTCCCACTCGCTGCACCGATTACTCCGTTTTACTTACTAGTAAGTCTTCTAGAATCCAATTCTTCCGGATAATATTTGTTTTTGGCTGGATCTTATTGAATTGGGGTTACATTTGATTTAGATTTGGATTTGTAATTCATAGAATCGACGAAATGCAGGTTCGGAATCTGAGGACAATAATCAAGTTCCTTCTCCCTTATGGGGTATAATGCCAATGGAGAATCCAGATAGTTACTGTGCGATCAAAGCGAAGATGACTCAAGCGCTTAGATACTTCAAAGAATCAACTGGGCAACAACACGTTCTTGCACAGGTTTGGGCGCCTGTGAAAAACCGTGGACGATATGTTCTTACAACTTCAGGACAGCCATTTGTTCTTGGTCCCAATAGTAACGGCCTTAATCAATACAGGATGGTTTCCCTGACATATATGTTTTCCGTTGATAGTGAACGGGAAGGAGAGCTCGGGCTTCCCGGTCGTGTTTTCAGGAAAAAGTTACCTGAATGGACCCCAAATGTTCAGTATTACTCGAGCAAAGAGTTCTCGCGCCTTGGTCACGCCCTGCACTATAATGTTCAGGGAACCTTGGCTTTGCCTGTCTTTGAACCGTCTAGGCAGCTCTGTGTTGGGGTTGTTGAGCTTATTATGACTTCTCCGAAGATTAACTATGCACCTGAGGTTGAGAAAGTTTGTAAAGCGCTTGAGGTTTGATTTTGTTTCTCTTTTTGGTTCTCATCAGTTTCCTTTAATCTTCCTGTGATATTGATGTTTTCTGTTATGTTGCAGGCTGTGAATCTGAAAACTTCCGAAATATTGAACCACGAGACCACTCAGGTTATCTGCGAGCCCAATGTCAAAATCTCGAGTATTTTTTCAGAAACTTTCAAGAATTGTCTTGAATTTATATAGCCTTGTTCCTTCTCGTTATAATCTCCATTTCCTTTTGGTTTCTTGTATACCAGATCTGCAACGAAGGTCGTCAAAATGCGTTGGCTGAGATTTTGGAGATACTGACTGTGGTTTGCGAGACCTACAAACTGCCTTTAGCTCAGACATGGGTTCCTTGCAGGCATCGAAGTGTTCTAGCTTTTGGAGGTGGTTTTAAGAAAAGCTGTTCGAGCTTCGATGGAAGCTGTATGGGGAAAGTCTGTATGTCTACTAGTGATTTAGCGGTTTATGTCGTGGACTTTCATGTTTGGGGTTTCAGAGACGCTTGTGCTGAACACCATTTGCAGAAGGGACAAGGTGTTGCTGGGAGGGCTTTTATGTCTGGAAATCTCTGTTTCTGTAGAGATGTTACTCAGTTCTGCAAAACCGACTATCCATTAGTACACTATGCACGAATGTTCAAGTTGGCGAGCTGTTTTGCGGTCTGCTTAAAGAGCTCATATACCGGGGAGGATGAGTACGTTCTTGAATTCTTTCTTCCTCCAACCATCACCGACAAGAGTGAGCAAGATTGTCTGTTGGGTTCTCTGTTACAGACAATGAAACAGCACTATTCGAGTCTCAAGGTTGTCTCTGGAACTGAACTCTGTGAAAACGAAATGTCTATTGAAGTCGTGGAAGCTTCAGAGGATGGAATGATTTACTCGAAACTTGAACCAATCCAAATACATCATCCAGCACCAATCTCTAAGGATTATCTTCAGCTCAATGCACCTGAGCAGAAGCTGAGCTTAAACCCTGACCTTATGGATAACAACGAAGTTGCTGATGGGTTTGAGATGTTTCAAACGCTTAATCCTTCACCGGAGGCAAAATCAGGGAAGAAAACAGAAAGAAAACGAGGGAAGACCGAGAAAACAATCAGTCTAGAAGTGCTTCAACAGTATTTTGCTGGTAGTCTAAAAGATGCAGCCAAGAGCCTCGGCGGTACGTTCTTTCAACTTTGTCTATTAGTTGTAGTTGTTGATAACAAACTCAAAATACTTTTGCTTTTTTGTTTTCCAGTTTGTCCAACAACAATGAAACGCATTTGCCGGCAACACGGGATCTCACGTTGGCCATCTCGTAAAATCAACAAGGTGAACCGATCTCTCACGAGGCTAAAACATGTTATAGACTCGGTTCAAGGCACTGATGGATCAATCAATATAACATCCCTCTCGTCTCATCCATGGCCTCACCAAATCTCTCCAATCGAAAACCAACCACCACCAGCCACTAGACCGCCAACTAGTTATCTCCAAGATATCAAGCTCGAGAACCGAGATCCAGAAGACAGTTCAGGTTCATCAACATCGCGTGCTTCTTGCAAAGGTAAAGTAAAGCCTCTCATCATCATCGTTTCTTCATACTGCAATATCTCAAGCTCCATCACCATTGTTCTTATCTGTCTCTTGTTTCACAGTGAGTCCTATTTCCGAGTCGCGTTTTCGGCTTCTAACACAAAACCAAGAAGCATTTAAACAAACGACCCTGGACGATTCAGACAGTACATCTAAAAACATAACTAACTTTTGGACCTCCCAACAAGACGCAGCTTCTCCAACAACAATCCACAATAAGCAGGTGAGTATAAAGGCAACGTACAGAGAAGACATCATCAGGTTCAAGATCTCACCAGAGTCAGTAAGCATTACAGAACTTAAGCAGCAAGTCGCCAAGAGGCTGAAACTCGAAACGACGGCGTTTGAGCTCAAGTATCTAGACAACGACAAGGAATGGGTCTCGGTCTCGTGCGATGCTGACCTCAGCGAGTGTCTGGACACGTCATCTTCTGCTGCAGCCACAGCGAAAGCCAAGACAATGAGGCTCTCGGTTCATGATGTGACCCCAAACTTTGGGAGCTCATGCGAAAGCTCAGAGGAAACTATGATGTGCTTGTGACATATACTTCACTTGTATAACAACTTTCTTGTATGGTTCTGAGAGTTTTGTTTTTGTTTTCTTCGGAGAATATGGCCTATGTTTTTTTCCTTTAGAAGAGGAGTTTTAGTGTTAAATTTGTAAGATGTATAAAAGAACACTTCTCCACATCAATGGATGTTGATTGGAATAAATGAAATAAATTTTATTACCCTTAATTAGTATTATGAAATTAATCAAAGTTTCCTCCGTTTGCAATTTGATACTATTTTATCAAATAACAAAAAAAAAATCAGTATTTTATAAGTTTTATTGTTTGATTTACATTTTACAAAATCAGATTCACACTCTCTAGGTAGCAATGTAAACATTATCCAAGATACAATCTAGCACCATTCACTATGGTTCAATTCAAATATTAGGATAATATCCGGATCCGGATAGTAAAAATATAGGATTCGTCGAAACCGGATTCATATCATGTGATCTTAGAATCCATTGGCTTTCCTTTAAATATTTTTTAGATCCCATCTCGATTTTTGATGTGGATTTTTAACAATATTATACTATTGAATATCATGTTCAAAATATATTATTCGTATCCAAAATCAACAAATCCATCATTTTACTATCAAGGTTTAAATAATCTAAATTTTTATATAATCAAATCAAAATTTAAATCATATTTCAGATAATAAATCCAGTCCAAAACAAGAACAACCACGAATACCTTTAAGTAAAAGACTAAAAGCCATTATTTCCTCCGTTTCATATTAAAAAAATATTTTAGCCAAAAGATCCATTTTAAATGTTCATATTAACTCGAGATCCGTTTTCTCCAATCTTCACTATGTTCTCTCTGCCTCAAATGATTCAAGAATCCCATCTGAAATCACAACATCAG